GGCGGCAACTTCCTATGTATCTGACAAATTTTCGAAATGCTTCATCGGTGTAATTCTTAATTTCAGTCCGCTTCGCAAAATGATTCGTTACCGGAAAACGACGAGCATCCACATTTAATAACGGTGGCGGAATAGAAAAGAGACGATTATTCTCTCTAAAATCTTCAACTCTCATTGTGGCAGACATGATAACTAATTTTAGAGGCTTTATATTCGTTTTTGACACAATACCATTATGTTTTCTCAGTTCCTCCAAGTGAAGATCATTTCTTAATGGTAAAATCCGCGACAAAAGACCAATCAAAATATCCCCTGCGAGACTCCTTTCATGCGCCTCATCAACCACAACAACACTGTATTTTTTTAATAGGAAATCCGATTGAATCTCCTTCAAAACAATACCTTCGGTAGCAAACTTCACTTTAAAATTTTCTGAAAGATTATTATCATATCGCACATGATAACATACCATTCCTCCAAATGAAGTATTTAATTCTTCGGCTACACGTTTTGCCATTGAAACTGCTGCCACGCGCCTGGGTTCCGTAATCAGTATCGCTCCTTCCCTTCCAAAGACTGAACCCTTTGGATCACCATATCCACATTCCCACAAAAACTGGGGAATTTGTGTCGTTTTCCCGCTTCCTGTCTCACCACATATAAGAACACAGGTGCGAGAACTATTATTGATTGCCTCAACAATTGCTTGTTCTTCCCGTAAAACGGGAAGATCTTTCCTGGTCTTTTCGATTTCAGGGTTGCGACAGACTAAAATATGCACATTTTTCGGAGCATATTTTGCAAGCTCTTTTGTTTCTCGATCGATAGCTTCTTGAACTTCTTCTTGTATTTTTTCATCCAATGCGCGACCTATTTTCAAGTTGGAAACATAATTCTCGTGTGCAATAAAAGACTTCTGTTTCTGAAACGCCTCCTCTACCTCTCTTTTCTGTCGGATGCATTCTTGTAAAGCAAACATTGCCTTTCTTCTTTCTGCTTTTTTTTCCTTTTGAAGCGCAATTTCCTTTTTCACAAAAGCCTTGTGTTTTTCTACAGTAGCCTTTACCAGAGAAAGTTGTTCCTCTGCCACTTTTAGCCGTGCATTCTTTTCCTTTTTAATTTCATGTTTTTCCTTCTTTTTTTGCTCTCGAGTTGTTGACAACACTCGAGGCAATGGTGTTGAAAGCCCCAAATCCTCAAACCGAATTGGCTTTTTAGGAGGCATAGCGCCGCTCCCTAAAACCCATAATAAAATTTAAAAAAATAAAAAAAATAAGATGCCCCGCAAATATAAAAAAATAATATATATATATTGCAGAAAAAATGTATATAAGAAAAAAATCAAAAATATTTTTCTATATTTACATATGCAAAAATAATTTCATTTTTTTTGTTTTTCGTTCATCTATTTCATGCTCTTCATTTTCCGTAAATTTTCATTTTATTCCAATTATATTTTAATAATAATAACAATAATAATAATAATAAATGGATAAAAACAAATTAAAAAGTTTATTACTTCAAACCCCCTTCAATTAATAGCTATTTTTGGGAGTTTTGCTTCTGTAAAGCCTTTTTAGCAGCTTTTGCAGCTCGCTTTGCAGCCAAATCATTTGCAGCGGAAGATATTCCATCTTTCGATAAAGACTTCAAATATTGAGCTTTAGCACCCAAATGATTAACTTTTTCTCGCCCATCCGGAATATAAATAAGAACCTTTTTGGGTGTTACAGAATCCACAATGTAATATCCCCGACGTTCAATTTGGATTGTATCACCCTTTTTAAGAGTCTGAACGGCTTCCTCTGCGTATACCTCCTGAGTAAACTTTGTTACTGGGGCTATAATGTCATCAATTTTTTCTTCAAGATCTGGTTTTTTCTTTGTAAGAAGGTGATCATATTCAACCAGCTCCATCACCTCCGCATTCGGACTCTCGGGAACCCAAGTTAACTTATACTTCGTTTTTTTCACATCACCTTCAAGATGTAAAACGATATCGGCATCCGTAATTAAAGATGATTCTCCGGATGAGCGAATATTTTTAATGTACGCATTTCCCCAATCCATCAACGTAATCTCTTCGCCCTCCTTGAGAAGAGCAACGTCTTCTGTATCAAGGAAAATAACATCGGATTTAAAATATTTTTTAGTACCCATATCTGGAACTTTCTTATGAAGAAGTTTTTCACACTCTTGAAGATGGATTTGTCCTTCCACGGCGCAACGCACCTTCAATGAATTCGATACAACAGTATAGCGTGGGACAGAGGGATCTAGAATTTGAGTATTCAAAAACCAGAGCTTTGTCCATTCCATAAAATTAACTGTCTTTGACATACCTTGTGCCTGAACAAACTTTCTTAACGCGTTCATTTTTAATCCACGTCGAACCAACGCACGAACCGTTGGAAATCGAGGATCATCCCATCCATCTACTACACCGTTCTCCACAAACTGAGTCAGCTTTCGCTTTGACATAACAGTGTACTCCATATTTAGTCTTGAAAAATCCTCCACTATTGGTTTTCGTATGTTCAAAGCATCACAAAACCAATAATACTGATCATTGCGATCATGATACTCATTGGTTCTCAAGGCGTGCGTCACCCCTTCAATGGAATCAATAATTGGACAAGCAAAATCATATGTCGGATAGGCCTTATACTTCGTTCCTTGTCTAGCATGAGGGGTTTCATTCACTCGATAAATCACAGGATCTCTCATGGCCTTATTTTCATTATCGACGGAAATTTTCGCCCTCAAACAGGTTTCTTGGCCCTCAGCACTTCCTTTTTTCATTTCGTTCCATAGGCGTTTTGTCTCCTCTACCTCTATGTCACGATACCGTGTGGGAACCCCATCAAATCTACACTTCTGCATCTCTTCCCGTGGTGTTTTATCACAATATGCAAGACCTTTTCCAATAAGTTCTTCTGCTTTTTCATACATAAGGTCCATGTAATCTGAAGAAAATGTCGGGCCGATATCCCATGAAATCCCAAGAGTTGCTATATCATCTAAAATAGCCTGCTCAAAATGACCCCTTTCCTTAGAAGGATTGGTATCATCAAAGCGAAGAACAAGCTTTCCCTTAAACTTGGATGCAAGCATACTGTTTATTAGTGCTGCCTTTGCATGCCCAATGTGAAGGAAACCACTGGCCTCAGGAGGAAATCGAGTCACAACCTTTCCTTCTTCAGCGTTTGTTAGGATAAGTTTATCAGACTCCACATTCGCATTTGGGGCCGACATATATAAGTTTTTTTGAAAAGAATGAGTCCCGTTTATAAGCAATGGCCCTAAAAAAATAAACTCACCAAACTGTTTTAAAAATCTAAACATAAAACTCAAAAAAAAAAAAAAAAAAAAAAAGCGAGAGAAAGAAAAATTTGAGCATGTGTAAAAAAAAAAAAAAAAAAACGTAATTATTATTATTAATAAATAATATTATTAATATTATGATTAATATTACTATTATTATTAATTATTATTACTATTATTAATAATGTCGCTATTATTATTATTATTATTATTATTATTATTATTATTATTATTATTATTATTATTATTATTATTATTATTATTATTATTATTATTATTATTATTATTATTATTATTATTATTATTATTATTATTTGCTGGATCAATACAAAATTTCTGCTTTTAAAGGAAATTCTCCGGATGGTGCCAAGCTTGATAAAAAAAAAGGAAGACACATTTGATTTTTCGAGGTAATTCTTATCGAGAGTGCTTCAATTTGTCCTCTCTCTTTTTTTTTTTTTTTTTTACTTTTTTGGGGGTTCTTTTAAGCAATTTTTTGCTTGATTCGTAGTTGTCAAAAAATTTAAAATTCCATTTTTGAAAAAGCTTTTCTGTTAAAAAGCCTTTTTATTTATTTATGGATATTACCTGAAAACTATTTTTATCGCTAATATAATAATAATAATAATAATAATAATAATAATAAATAAATAAATAAATAAATAAATAAATAAATAAATAAATAACAACAATAATAATAATAAAAAAACAAATAAATAAAGGCCGCCGCGTGACTGAAATCATGATTACAGAAGTGAGAACAAAAGGAGCAACAAGAACCCCTACCATCCGCTATTCTTATCCGGCGCTTCCTCCCCCAAAAAACGCCGCGCCCCAACAAGCCCGCGGGACGCCGCGACCAAGAACCGCCAAAACGAACGTTCGAAAACCGAAAAGGAGCGACGCCCACCGCCGGGCACGGGCCGCGACGGGGTTTGGCGCGGTTTCGCCCGTTTGTGCGCGGCGCCGGCGGGTGGTGGGACCTCTGTTTGCTGACGTCTTAGGTAGTTTCTTTTTTCCCGCCCCGCGGGGGAAGCCCATTTCTCTGTAATCTTCCCACTCGCCTCTTTTCTTTTTTTCTTTTATCCTTTTTGGCGGGCAGGGGGAGTAGCAATGTTGCGAATGTGTCGGCGTTTGGCGATGAAGTACGCTGACTTGGAGCTGACCACTCGGGGTGAATTTCCGCATGGCATGAAGGAGCCTGGATTTGTAAAGAAATTGGACCAAAATATTCCGTGGTATTTTTCCACATACCGGTCAATGTACCATTGGCCAATAACCGGTGATAATTGGAGCGACTTGAATGAGGCGGAGAAGCATCATGATCTTCACATGTTTTATACTTTAGCGTGGTGGAAATTGGGGGAAGGTATCTTTGACGCGAATGATGAGGACAATTAGTGAAAAATGCTGTTGTGTTTGTGATTTATTCGGAATAGGAGACATGTATTTTTATTTTTTATTTTTTTTTTTTTGGTCTCTGCGTGAAAATTTTTATTGTTGCTCTTGTGTTTGTTGTTGGAAAACTCGGAAATTTAATTCTTAATTCTTTTTTTTTTTTTTTTTTATTGTTTTAGATAGTTTTATTTATTAGCCATTTTATACTTTTTTTGGCATTACAGCAATGTTACGAAGATGTATGAGATCATTATATCGTTATCAGGAGTTTGAAATGTCAAAGAATGCAAATTATCCTTTTCACTATGCGAGAGAAGCACCCAATACATCAGTGTTTCCTCAACATCAGTTAAATTTTTGGATGTTCTGGGGCTGGGGCAGGCAAGAATTATGGATAGATCGTGATACCCGGAAGTACGAGACAACCTGGGAAATGCTTCGACGTTTACTTTTGTGGTTATTTCCATGTTACTTCATCTTTCCATTTGGCTTGCCTAAGTGGATTGCGACTCACTATCATGGCGAATATGGTGAAAAACCTTTTCTAGACTATACAATGCATTATCCAATGGATAATCATTACATTGAATTCGGAGGCAGTGTGCTAGACGCGGAGTGGTTGCGTCACATACACTCAAAGGAGTCTTACTAATTTTCATTACTATTATTATTTATTTATTATTTATTTATTTATTTATTTATTTATTTATTTATTTATTTATTATTTATTTATTTATTATTTTGCAAAATGTTTTGATTTTGCAGTGATTTTTTTTTTTTTTTTTGGGGGGGGGAATGCGTCAAATGGCGTTGTTTTTATTAGGAGTATAGCGGTGGTAGTATTTCTATTTGTGGTAACATTGGTTTTTAGTATGTGTTATTTATATTTAGCTTATTGGAAGCGGGGTGTTTTTTTTTTTTTTTTTTTTTTTTTGTACGAGAAAATTGCCTAGTTTTTGTTATATGACTGTGTAACAGAATGCTCAAAAATTATTATTAGCATTAGTAGAATTAGTATTATTATTATTGATATTGTTATTATTAATATTTCACCCTATATCTTTTGCTTACCTTTGCAAAGGAATTAATAATTATTATTACAAATATAAATATAATTATAATTATAAAATAAAGATGATATTGTGCTGTTGTTATATTACTATTATTATTTATTTATTTATTTATTTATTTATTTATTATTTATTATTTATTTATTTATTTTACTTGTATATTTTTTTTCTTATTGGATGCTGTTAGTTTATTATATGATATGAGGAGTATAAGGGGTGTTTGCTGCTTTTCTAGTTTATACACAACCCAATTTAGAGTACATGCAACATATGACGTAGCTCCATTGAGCCACAAAGAGCTTTTTTCGATTTATCAGAATTGGGACAAAACACGTGATGAATTGGATCTTTTGGAAGAGGTGGAAGAAAGAATTTCCAAATGGAAACTTAATAAATGGGAAATGCGAATTCCTCCTCTACTTACTGCACGTGAAAAAGAGTTAATGCGTCAACAACAAGAACTACTTAAGAGTATATTTTTTGACTGGGGAAAGTGTCGAGATGCGTTAAACAAGGATCTTGAATTGATTTCCTCCATTACTGGATTACCAAAGGGAACAGTTAGAGAAAAGAATCGGGCATGGCTTCAAGAAGAAGCGGCAAAACTGCGTTGGGTAGGGGAAGTTAGCAAGGCAACTCGATTGCGTGACGCTTTTTTGCGTTTAGAAGTTTATGGATCAAGGGATCACAGACTTTTAGAGAGACTATGCTGCATTTATGGACTTGGCTTACAGGGCTCGTTTGAGAGTGCGTTTTCAAACTACATTGTGGAGGATCCTATCACCAAAAAAATATACGTTGATGAAAAAAATTCATTTCGTGATCTTCTAGCCTATATTATTCATACATATCCTCAAATTGATATCATATATGATTTTCTTGGGTTTAACTTTATTGGGGGATATCGTTCATCGCTGCGTCGTTACCTTGAGTGTATGGTTTCCCGATCGACAGAGGGGGAAAAAATACCAGGTCGTTTAGTATTTGGAAGAGGAAAACCTGCTGAAATTCTTTTTGATTTTGGTAATAGCAATGAATCATTGGTTTCTGGCGAATGCACACAAGGTTTTCCCGATTTTGTTTTTGTAAAGGGATCAGATATGACCCTTATTATTATTGCGTCGGAGAACTCATGGCTCCGAAATCGTCAGTTGCCCCATAGAAAACAGATGGAAGGTATTGCAAGGCGTGCTAGTTTTGTTTTGGGTATCCCATTTTCGGAGGTGCGTGTTCGAAACCTTCTTTTGCCCCCGACTTACCTTGACAAAGATTCTATTGTTCGAATCAATGAGGCGGTTCTTGGGTTATCAAAGGAAGAGCAGCGAAATTTGGCTCCCTGGCTGGAAATGTATCAGAAAGAGTTGGATTCCAAAGACGTTGATTTTTGTTCTTTGATGAAATCAACAAATGAGGAGGAGTGGCTTACATTGTAGTTACTCATTGATACTATTCACTCTGAAGAAAATGTTTAAATTTGTTTTACATTAATGCATTCTGCGGAATCATCATATGAAATATACCTTTTTTTTTTTTTTTTTTTTTTTTTTTTTTTAATGGATTTGATCATTTGGTGATTATTTTTCTTTTATAATATATTTTATTTATTATTTTGTTTTGTTTATATCCTTTTTATTTTTTTTTTATTATTTATTGTTGTTGTTATTTCTATTATTATTACTTTTTCTCTTTTTCTTTAATACGCATATTGTTACGTTTATTTATTTTTTTTTTTGTCATTATTTAAAGACCATGTCAGTGACAAAACACACATGCGTGGTAAGGGTGAATCTCTTTCTTTTTCTGCCGGATACTTCTGAATACCAGGAGTATGGATCGGTTGGTTGTGTTATAGTTGGCACGCTAAATAGCCCGCCGTTGTACAAATTAGGGTGCTATAACGAGAAAAACGAGTATATATGTACTGCGAACATTACGACTAACAACGAAACCGGTGCCTTTATTGCATTGCAAGCAGGAGGATATATTTCTTTTAAAGATGAGCAAGGCAAAACCTGGTCTATGCAATTTGAAAGTGAAAATCAAGCAATTGAATTCTGCTGTCACGTAGTTGTGGCAATGTATGGGGCGTCAGGCCATCCAGATCAAAGTATTCTTGCATGTGATGTTGCCATTGGAAAATGTGATCGTACCGTATTTGCCAACGATATAGTAAAGGTGCGTTATCAAAGTTGGGTAGTTCAATTTGAAGCGTATGGGAGCGAGCTTCCTATTCTTGGAAGCAAATTGGATGGCAATTTGCAGGCTGATAAACCGTGCACCTTAACTATTCCCGCTAATCATATGAGTGTTACTCCTGAAATGAAAGGGTTTGAGGGGATGGTTATAGGAATGGGGGAAGAAGGATCTCGTGTGATCATTGTTCCTGTTCGAGCAAAACGTGGTAGCGGACCATCAGTGCACATGTGTTTTTATACTCATTTGGTGAAGAAAAAGGATCTTTCCCATGTGGCGCAAGTTGGTACCTCTGTCGCAGTGCCTTTGGATAAAAATTCATCTTTGCAGGTAATGGATGAATCTAGATTAGTGTTTTCAAATAAAAAAGATCATGCTATTCCATGCCCAAAATCTCCACCACCAGGTTTTAATAGAGAACAGTTATTGATTGTGGATCGAATGCGCGACCAAGTTCAAGTGCTTTTTCAACAGCTACAGGAGGCTCGACGACAGCTCGATGTATTGTTGAATGAAGTTCGAACTTTTGAACGAAGTGCAAAACCGCAAAGTTTGGCAAGTGCGCAATTGGAACATTCCATTCAGAAGCTTTTGGCTGACACAGAAGAAGGGAAAGAATTACTCTCCCAGAAGGATTTAACTCTGAGGCAAATGGAGGAAAAAAATAAAGAATTGCAGAATAAAATTGACAAGTTTAGCAAAACCGCCAATTTACTTGCAGAAGAGAAGAAAAGCACCATTAATTCCTCCAACGAAGAAAAGTTGGATATGGATCGAAGAATAGCCCAAAACCAGGAAAGGTTGACACGCTTACAGTCGGAGCGAGAGGATGTTGCCCGCCATCTTTCAACTGTAAAGCGTCTTCTTCAGGTTGCTGACCAAGATATTAAAACTGAAAAGCAGAATCTTCAATTGGCATTGGTTGAATTTCAAACAAACGAGTCCAAACTTTCGGCTGTTGAAGAAACATACACTGGGGAACAAGCCAGACGAAAACTTCTGGAGTCAAAAGTCATCGTTCTTGGTGATCAACTTCGCTCCCTCTTGGAGGAAGTTCGTGTAAAAGAAGGTCAGATGGAGGAAAGAAGAAAAAAGATTGAAACTGACAAGCTACATTACATGCAATTAATTGAGGACGAAAGAAGTAAAGCGGCTGAAGAAATGCGTGAGTTACGACAGGAATTTATTGACGAATTGTCTACACGTGACAGACGTTATCAGGAGGAACGTCAAAGAGTTGCACATAACGCTTTTGAAAGAGGTCATTTTCAGGGCATAGAGGAGGGGCAGAATGAGGCGTTGTTTGAAGCAGATGCGGCTACGCAGCATCTTGCTCTCACTGTTCAGCGCCACGAAGCGGAAGTGAACGGCATACGTATTCGCTTAAGGAGTGCAAAAGAAAAAAACGAAGCTGACGCTTGTCGATTGACATCCCAAGCTTCAGCACTTCATGGGGCGATTGACAATCTAATGGGAGAAAATTCACAGATGGAAACAGAGTTTGACTCATTGAAGAGTGCAAAGGAGTCTGTTGAAGATGATGCCTTTCAAGAACTTAGGCATGCCATCGAGCAGCTATCAGTTGCCGTGGGACGACAGGATCTCCTTGCAATAATACACTCTTTACGAGTCAAAAGGGATGTTAGCTATGCATTTGAGACACAAAGAGAAGCAGAACGAAAACGAATTTTAAAGGAGGAACAGAAGGAGGTTTATGAGTGGGTTTCTGGAGTGGTTGATGGAAAATCTGTTTCGTTTCCTAGTATGCGCGCACAGTATTTGACTGAGCCACTGCTTCCGTACGTTCCAGATGTTCCTTTCTTGAATGAAATGGAGCCATCGGAAAAAATTTTTGATTCAAAAGTTCAGGATGAAGTAAATAAACAGGAACTTCTTCTTCGGTTTGATCCGGATGAAATGGATCGTCGCTATCAGGAGCTTTTGTCGGAGCTGACTTGTAAGAATCCTGTTCTAGAACTAGACCTAAAAAAGAATTCCTCAAAGTCGCTGTATGATGCCCCGTCAGCAAACAGTTTGTCTCAGACCCAAGATAGAAAAACCGTTTATGAGGGCACTCGTAACTCACCATCTTTAGAATTGACGGCAAACACTCCAAAGATAGATCAACAGAAGGTAAAGGAAGAGGGTGTTTCATCGCAGGCATTGTCATCCCAAACTGGGGTTCAGGTCTTTGTTTTAAAGCAAGAGGAAGGTGATTTTGGTCCCCTTGTAAAGCCTGATATCACTGTGGAGAAGGTGCAAGAGCCATCGCATGCCATTTCTCCCAAAGATGGAGTATCAGAGAGAACTCTGGCGGAGAAAAAGTGTCCGTCCATCACCTCGACCTCTTCTGGAAAGCCAACTTCAGTTCATCAGATCAAGGGGCCTGAAAAACAAATAGCACCTCCACAAAATCGAGGGGTGCCTTCTCGAGTTTGGAGGCCTAATTTCAGTGATTCAGATTCTGACATTAACGCTCCGGTGTTATCTAAGGAGGCTGCAATGCGCAGCTCGACGAAAGTGGCTCCGCAAAAGAGGTCTTTATTTGATGATAGTGATTCCTCTGATGGCTCAATAAAGTAACTTTTTAACGCGGCTGAGCCAAGAACTGTTTGGATTTGCACAGTTTTCTTGGTATAAATACATCTTTTTGTGTGTGTTTAGGGTTTGTTTGCTGAGGGCGGTTGAGATTTTGCTATGACAACGAGAAATCCAAACGGGATTTTGCTTCTGCTTTATCGTAGTTTTTGAACCGATTCAGGGATGAAGGATCTATCCCATTACCCAATTTGTTGAATTTTGTTTGTTGTTGGAGGGAATTTTATATTTTTGATTATTATTATTATTATTATTATTTTTTTTTTTTTTTGTGTGTGTGTGCATCTATTTATGTATGTGTTTCTCCAACTTTACATTTCGATTAGTCTACGCTTTTCATTTTTATTTTTATTTTTTTATTTTTTTTTTCCCTTTTGTTTTCTTCGAATACATTCTGTTCTCCAAATTACGGCAAAAAGTGCCCTCGGACACCATGGGGCTTTAGTGAGCCCCGGCAACACGTGGGTGGTCCGGGCGCTGTTTGATTCCGTCAGTCCTGCGCCAACAACCACGACCGCGTGAGGGAAACGCGGCTGGTTCTTGGATTCTCCCGACAATGATGGGCAACTGACACTGACCGGCATCACGGTGAGGTGGACGGTGGGATTGTCAGGGGAGCAATCTCCAGTTCGGGTCTTCGACTTCTTTTGGAGGACCTGGGGGCAAAACATGGAGTAATCCCTTTGGCTCTAGGATCAGGGAACAATATCCCATTTATATACATATTTGTTTCGTTTGGTTATATATATATATATATATTCGTGGTAGTTGCTATTGTTATTCTTGACTTTTTTTTTTTTTTTTTGATATTTTATGCGCATTGCTACTTAAGGGAATTTTCAAAAGATCCCTATCTGGGAAGGAACCGATGTTTCGTAGGGCAATTCTTCTTGGGTGCAGCGCTGCGAAAACTCCATGGAGTGAATGTAGTAATGCTCAACTTGTGGATGCTGTGAAGTCCCGCAAAATTTCATTTTATGGCTTGGAACAGGCATTGGAGCCTGATTACAGGCGTGCCATTGAGGTGCGTCGTGAGGTGGTCTCCGAAATTGCTTCGCAGCAGCCAGAAGCCAAGAAAAAACAGAGTGCTCTGCATACTATCCCCTTTGAGAATTATGACTGGAACAAGGTTGTCGGTCAAAACTGTGAAAATATCATAGGATATGTACCAATTCCGCTTGGTGTTGCCGGGCCAATACTTATTGACGGAAAGGAGTACCCTATTCCTATGGCTACAACGGAGGGGGCGCTTGTAGCTAGCACCCATCGTGGCGCTCGAGCCATAACACGATCTGGTGGTTGCAAGACGCTTTTGTTAGGTGAGGGCATGACAAGGGCTCCCGTGGTGGAGCTTCCATCTCTGGAGGAGGCGGGAAGGCTTCATAAGTACTGTAATGAAAATTTCTTATCACTAAAGGAGGCTTTTGAGTCCACAACGCAGTATGGGAAGCTGAATTCGCTAAAGTGTGTTTTGGCAGGACGAAAGGCGTATCTCCGGTTCCGTGCGACCACGGGTGATGCAATGGGAATGAACATGATCACAAAAGGTGTGGATAAAGCCTTGTCAGTCCTGCAGCAGCATTTTCCTTCAATGGAGATCCTTGCTTTATCAGGTAATTATTGCACAGACAAGAAACCATCAGCGGTAAACTGGATTGATGGACGTGGAAAGTCGGTCGTAGCAGAGGCTACATTGCTTGCTGACGTCGTTGAAGACACCCTGAAATGCACAGTTGACAGCCTTGTATCGCTTAACATTGATAAGAATCTTGTTGGTTCAGCTCTGGCTGGGTCTGTTGGTGGATTCAACGCACAGGCTGCGAATGCCGTTGCGGCCATTTTTATTGCGACAGGGCAGGACCCAGCGCAGGTGGTGGAGTCTTCAATGTGCATTACGACCATGTCAAAGGTGGGCAATGATCTTCTTATCTCCGTCACAATGCCAAGCATTGAGGTTGGTGTTGTTGGAGGGGGGACAGGACTGGCGGCGCAGAGAGGCTGTTTAGAGTTGATTGGGTGTGGCGGCCCGAGCAAGGAATCACCGGGTACAAATGCACAGTTGCTTTCTCGTGTCGTCGCTGCGGGTGTACTTTCAGCTGAGCTTTCTCTCATGTCTGGCTTGGCCGCGGGTCATCTCCTAAGCGCCCACATGCGCCTGAATCGCAAAAAGAAGTGAAGAGGGAAAAAACAAAAAACACGCTGATCAACCCCATCTTCACACTCATACAAATTCAGGAGAGAAAAAAAAAAAGTGAAATGAAATTTTAATTGAAGGGCGTTCTGGGAGGAATGCAGGCCGGGGAACGAAGAAAGGGTGATGAAAAGAAGGAAGAAACTTAATAATAATAATAATGCTCTACAAACTCCAAATGCAAAAAAAAAAAAAAAAAGCAAAGCAGGAAAAAGAGGCCGCGGACAATGAATAATTATTTTTGGTTGTGCAAGTGTAAACTGATGAGGGGATCGCCAGAAAGGTGGGGTGATTGAAGAAAAGGATAATAAACACAAAGAATAATAATAGGAAGTGATCTTTGTGATGAAACTCTGATCGCTCCTTTGGTGATGTGATCATCGGGAATGTGTCGCCTCTGTATCTTGATGGTTTGTCTGTTGGCACGCATCGTTTGAAGAAAGGCAAACGGACGGCGTGCGACGAGGTTTTTATCTTGGAAACTCATTCTACCTATTGTTGATGATGATGGAGCTTCCTGTTGCCCGGCGAGAGGCTGTGAATATTTTCGATTCACACGTACTAGCCTTCAAGTGGCGGTGACGTTTTTGAATGGAATGCGGCGGGTGTTCTTTGGATAGGAGCTAATTTTATTTGCGTTGTGATCTTGTTTTTTCCTTTTGTTGTTATTGTTGTGTTCTTGCGTTTTTCTCTAAATGGGAGGATTTGGGCATTGTGAGTGAAGAGGATGGCGTGGACGGAGAGGAAAGAAATAGAGAGGGGGAAAAAACGGAGCATGAATTTTTGGGTGAGGGGTTTGCAAGAGACATAGCCTCATAACTCCTTAGGGAACCACCTTTTTTGAAATCCATTTGGTTTTCTTTTCTTGGCCTCCTGTCTGGTGACCCGGGCGAACTCTTTTCCCCGCCGTCTTGATTCTATGCATTCATCATCAATACTAACGAAAATAGCCTTTGATGAAACAAAATACGACACACACAAACACAAACGCACACGCAGTGAAGAAACATTTTAAGGCGACTCATGTCTTCATCGGCGATATTGTTTGTGGGGAATCTGCCCGCAGTCACGAATGCCCAATACCTTGAGCGTCTTTTTTATGCCTACGGCGAAGTGAAAAATGTGAAGATGCACCAGGAAGGCATCCATCCATACGCAGAAGTGACGTATGGTGCTGTGGATGACGGGGACTCTGCGATAGCAGCGCTCCATGGTAACTACTGCGCGTCAAAAGACCTTCCTCTAGTAGTTTTATACCACCGCAGTAGTCCAATGGTCTCGGAATACGGTCTTAAGGTGGGAAAAGAGTACGCTGCTGCCTTTGCAGAGAATCGTGACCCTTTGCCCATACCGTTAGAGGCCTTCGATGAGAAGTTTGAGCGAACCGACGTACCACCTCCACCTTCAGAGAGAGAAATCTTTGAAGGATCCAACTGGAGTAGCTACAATAACGCATCACATGATGTCGGCGGAAATTTTTAATTTTTTACCGTTTTATTATTATTATTATTATTTATGTGTTCTCTATCTAATTTGCAATATGCCGCAGTTTTTGTGAAATGGATGCTTTACAGATGGGGGGGGGGGGGGAAAAAGAGAAAATGATTTCAATTCTTATTCACTTTTATGGGCACCAGTTACATGCGCGCTGCGACTGAATGAAAAAAGAAAAGAAAAACGTGTTTTTTTTTTTTGTTTCTTTTCTTCTTCTTCATTGCCTATTGTATCATACGAGAAATAATGACCGATGATCCTGCTTCCACGGTGCCGTTACTGAACCCCGATGAAAGGGCAATGGCTTATGGATTGCGGGGGTTTGAGATCTCCCGAAGGCCATACAAAGCAGCAACACCTGAAGGATGCATTCCAAAACAACGCTGGGGGTCGGCACCGCGGGGCGCTGTTGTTTACCTAAATCCGGGCTCTGGATCATTCCAGGATGTGCTTGCGCCGTCGCCCCGCGGCAGTTTATTATTGTATTCGAAGAGAGAATTGAGTAGTGAAGAAGAGACAAAAGTTAATGGGGATGTCCCTGGCATCCCTGGGGTGAAAAAACCGTCGTTGGGGCAACTACGTGCAACCGCAATAGCAGGAAATGAAATAGCATCATCTTGTATCTACGCAACCGGGATTGTTGTTTCTGCGGCTGGACGTTTGGCCTGTTTTTCTTCATTACTTGTTTCTGTTGTGTTGTACCTTTTTCGTTGGGTTTACACGGAGATGTTTGGACCCCAACCTACGAATGGTGGTACATACAACGCCTTGCGGAAGGCTTTTGACAAAAACTGGGCATCGCTGGCGGCTATTCTATCAACACTTAGCTACGTTGCAACCGCGGTGACCAGTGCTGCATCTGCTGGGGACTATCTTCAATTTCAATGGAATGCTATGCCGTCGAAATCGATTTCTATTGGTATTCTTATTTTTTTTGCCGTGGTAAATTTATTTGGCATGAGAGAGTCCTCCTACGTAGCATCACTAATTTTTTTGCTTCATCTCTTGATTCTTTGTGTGCTAGTTCTCTCCGCCCTCGTGTACGTCTGCAGAGATGGTGGAAAAGTGCTTCGTGATAGCTGGAACTCTCCCTCTTTAGCTGCTAATCCGTATGATCAATGGATCACTTGTATTTTTTTTGGTTATTCCAGTGCGTTATTGGGAGCGACAGGCTTTGAATCCAGTTCCAACTACATTGAGGAACAAGGCGAAGGCGTGTATCCAAAGACCCTTCGTAATATGTGGTTTCTTGTGACTGTGATTAATCCAACTTTGATGATACTGGCTATAGGTGTTATTCCCATTGAGGTTTTAGTAAGGAATGCTGATTTTAGTTTGGCTCTATTAGCCCAGATAGCTGTGGGAGATTGGTTAAAAGTGATCGTGGTATTTGATGCGGCGTTTTCCTTATCCAGTGCTGTTCTTAGCGCATACGTCGGTATCCAAGGCCTTCACCGACAACTGGCCCGTGATCACGTCATGCCTGCATTTTTTTTATCTGTAAATCGTTGGGGCGGAAGTAATCATTTTATCATTGTTGGCTTTTGCTTAGTATCATGTTCGCTTCGTCTTCTTGTTGACGACATGTCTTCCCTTGGAGGTGTCTGTGCCGTTGCTTTTTTAAGTGTACTGATGCTTTTGTGTTTAAGCAGTCTTTTCCTCCAGTACAGGCGCGGCAGATTGCGTGGAAATCTAATGATTCACCCCTTTGTTGTGTTATTGGCACTTTTTTTGGTGACGGCGGGTTTCGTTGGCAACGTCATACGCGCTCCCCGGAATGCCATGTACTTTGCCATTTATTTTTTTATTTTTTTGTTTGTTGTGTCCGTTACAAGGCTGCGGGTTTCTCTTTCTCGGGTGTTGCACGACCTCATCCCCAGCAGCTGCCATTGGGCAAAGGAGAAAATGGGCGACATTGTTGCATCGATGCGGCATTGTCCCGTAGTGTATTTTGCGAAGCATGCTGATATTAACGTGCTGAATAAAGCCATCCAGTACATTGTGGACAATGAAGATACACACATGGTAAAAGTCATCCACATGGTGGGACGTAGTCTTCCACCCACTGCCAGCTCGGCCTCTCTAAAACAATATGGCTCGGAGAGAGATGTACACAAAGACAAGGAGGAGAGCGCGGAATCTTTTTTACGCTTGGAGGATGAAAATGAGTTGACAACGATGCGCGAACTGGAACAAAGCTGTGCCATCATTGATCAACTCTACCCAAAACTCACAATTGAGCTCCTTTTTGTACTTGCCCCATTCACCCCGAGAGTTTTTTACGAAATTTCGACTGAGCTTAACGTGCCACGCGAACTTATGTTTATGGGTTGCCGTGGCGATTGCTTTTCACAGATTTTGGATCAATTTGATGGCGTGCGTGTCATCAATTACTGAGTATTGAGTAAACATAGATTTTTCTTGCGCGGCCTTTTCTTATTATTAATATTATTCCTTATTTTTGGTTACTTTTGTCTGTACTTCCTCAGACCTTTGCTTCTTTTTTTTTTTTTTTCTTTCTTTTTTGAACTTCCTCACCTCCTAAACAAACATATATAATACGTATTTATTTTTGTTTTACTGCTTTGTTTTATATAATATATAAGTATGTTATATATATATATATATAATGTTTGTATTGGTGTTTTTCTTGCTATTGTTTTATCTTGTTTTTCTTAACTTCTTTTCCATCCTGGGAACTTAACAAGGTTATCAATGAGTAGGGGTGTTTGCGTGCATCATGTCAAACGGCTCTAACGATCACACCGGCACTTCCCACGACCTCAACAACGAGTACAAAGCGTTATTGGAGGAGTTGCACGTGCTGCAGGCGGAGTGGCACAGTGCGGCGTCACGTAAGGCGGAACTGGAGGCATCTGTCGCCTCGGCTACCGCACAGAGCGACGCGGTGGAGCCCATTCGTTGTCGTCTTTTTGAGTTGCGGAAGGAATGTGCCTTGCTTAACCAGCGGAACGAATTCCTTCAGCTTCAGATAGATGAAGCGAAGGAGCTTTACAAACGTGCCTGTGGAGAATCATCTGTTCTCGTCGGGGATGCTTTAGAGGAGAAGGAAAAGTTGGAAGAAGAGTACATGCAGGTGATGCGTTTTGTTGACCAGTTTGACCCAAACCTTCAGGAGGACGCGGCGCTGCTGAGGGCTGCCCTTGCGGAGCAGCGCGTGGAGATGCGTGTGCTGCAAGAGATGCTGGATGCCGTCAAAGAGCCCATCGTGTCTGATTACTTTAGTGAGCCTCTGCAAAATTTCGGTGCGCTTCTCAGTTCACATCCCAACCCCTGCGTGGAAATTCAAATGGACGACGTCTTCATCCCGGTGCCGCACGGAAGACTGCGATTGCTTACCGGCCCCCGTGGCGATGGTCTGCAGCAGCTGCGGGACCGGCATAAGGTGACGGCATCTGTCGTCTGCTTTAACGATATGGTGGCGGTGAGGCTGCGAGGGCACAAGGCAGGCGTTGAAAACTGCGGAAATGACATTCGTCGTCTCTTGTCTCTTCAAGAAGAGCGGCATGAAATCCTGAAAGGGAAAGGGGAAAAGCAAAAAAAAAAAGAAGCAAAAAATACGCATACACATACAAGCAGAAAAAATTTCCCTACTTATTTTGTATCGTCTTGATTATTTAAATGTCATCTCAATTTCTTATCCCACCCCACCACTCATAACCGCCAGCGGAAAATGTTATGCAATATTAATAACCACCGCTCACTCTTCTTGGGCGTCTCTGTATTTCATTTTCTTTTTTTTTTTTTTTTTTTTTTTTTTACTTGTCACTCTTCCCAATTCTTGTTTTGTTTTGCTTTTGCGTTGAAGCTGGCGAACGTGATGGACGTGAACAGTGCTCGCGTGGAGAGGCTCCGCCGTGTCAACCGCTACAAGGCGGTGCAAGCGGAACTTGCCCTTCAGCGGGAAGAGGAGGAGATCCGGGCAAGTCGGGAAAGAAAGATGAACGCCGCTGCTCGCGACGAGGCGCTTGCAAAGCAGCTAGCAGAGGAGCAGCGTCTCGAATTACTGGACACCAAAATGCTTCAACTTGTTCGCGAATTTCCGGAGCTGCGGAACTTGGAGGCGCAGCTAAAACA